TCAAGCACTCAAATATCCATGCTCTCATGTCATTGCTGCTTGCTCACATTCGCATTTGGACTACAAAAATTATGTTGATCCCGTATACCAACTTTCACAAGTATTCAAGGTATATGAATTTGAGTTTCCGCCCATAGGAAACGAAAGAGACCCAAATGAGATTCAAACTTGGCTTACAATTGTACCAGATCCATTGCTATTGAGGGACTCAGGTCGTCCAAAATCTACTAGAATACATTGTGATATGGATATTCGGGAGAAGTCAACAGAACAAAAACGATGTGGGCATTGTAGAAACATCGGGCACAATAGAAAAAAATGTTCAACTCTGTTATCATCATATAACCATTAACTCTTATGTAATTAATATTGTATTTAAATGAATGTTTTTGTTTCTAATAATTTAATGTTATTGCATTTATATAATTTGTCAATGTATGTACACCTAAATAATTTTTTTTTAACTTTTAAATACATAAATATTTTTAATATATTTATTTAATATAATAATTAATATTATTAGTTATATATTTTTTTAAATATAATAATAATTCCACCTTCTAAGTAGAGAAAAATATTAAATTAAACAAATTAAAAGTTATTAAAAAATTTATGTATACAATGACACATTTCATTTTCTGATTGGAGGATTAAATTTATTAAATGAAATTTTCAATAAGACTAATTTCATAAAATATGTAAGTCTTGAAAATTAAATATGTAATTATACTAATTTATTAACTTATGCATCAATATTTTCGTTAAATATTGATATGAGATGACTAGATTGATAACATTTAAATAATTAACTGATAAAATTAATAGATCGATAATCAAAATCAAAAATAATAATATAACCATATGTGTAATATTATAATTTCATACATTTTTCCTATAACTACAATAAAGTCAAAACTGGTTTTCATATATTGTTATATCATATTAATGTAGATAATTCACTCCACCTTTAACACACATTAACAAAATACATTTGATAATTCTTATATTATAATCGAAACATTTTACATAATATATTATTAATTTATAATAAAAATAAAAATAAAATATTTATTATTAAACAAAATACGTGGCAGTCGAGCTGGCAAAAGGCGCGTCACCGGGGATGTGCCTTCCACACGTGGCATCCAACTCAGCGAAAACACGGGTAAAGCGCGTTCCCGGGGACGCGCCTTTCGCCAACTCAGCAGAAAGAGTGTTACTTCGAAAAATATTAATCAAACGGTGTCAGAAAGAAAATATTAAAGAAAATTAATGTCAGTTATGTCAAATAGCCTTCAAATATATAGCATAAAAATCTGAAAGATAGGTCCTTTTTTATTCGATTTTGTTGTCTTCCTTTGTTGCAAGTGAAAAGGAGAGACTTTGGCATTTGAGGGTCTTAAAGAAAGCATTTCTTAGGTCATTGGGAGCCAAAATGGGTAGTTTTGGGAGTACTGGTGCAGTGAGGCAGTATATAAGATGAAGGGTACCTCGTTTGAGATGGACGCCTGAACTTCACCATTGTTTCGTTCATGCCATAGAAAGGCATGGTGGCCAACAAAGTAAGTTGTTCTTCCCTTCTTTGAGCTTGTTTCTATATATCTTTTACTGATAATGGCTTTTTATATATTTCTTCAGAAGCTACTCCGAAACTTGTTCTTCAACTGATGGATGTTAAAGGGCTCACCATTTCTCATGTGAAAAGCCATCTTCAGATTCATCTTTTTCCCCCTTTGATTTGTTTATCATCTTCCCTTCTCTTAATATTTTGTTCCATTTCATCATAAACAAGATGTATCGGAGTAGGAGAAGTGATCTCGGCAGACAAGGTTATCATAACTGTGTTTTTTATGCACCTTTTCCCATATAAAACTATCACAAAATTCTTTTTGCATGTCTTTTCCAATTTCCATGATACTTTCCTTTGATGGCTGTCTTTTTGGTGTTAAAAATCAAAGAGCACACTTCCATGGCTTACATGTATTTTTGGTAAAGAGAGTTGGATGCTTCAGTTCAATTATTACCCTCAATTCCTAGAATGTATATAATTATCTGTTAATTTCTCAATGTTTTCTGCAACAAATTTGTAACACAGAAAATGACAAACCTCCTTTCTTTTATTCCCCAACATGAATAATGCATGCATGTTTGTGGTCTCCTTTAGTTAACATGATTTGTTTGCTTTCTATGACAGATAAGAATTCAACCCATCAAAGAGGACAGTCTTTGGAGAAGCATGATGGTTGTGTTGATGAAGCAAGTGACCATATGGGTTTTCACTCGGCTTCAAAGCTCATTGAAGAAGAAGAATCAGATTCTCATTACTGTTCACTCCTTCCTTCGAAAAGGTCAAGCTTGCTAGGCTTTTCTATTCAGCTACTAGGCTCATTTTGCTTTTGCTCCTAAAATTCTTTTTGTTGTCTTGTCTTGATCTACCCCAGAGCTAGAATGGAGACCACCAGGAGTTCAATCTCTGATCAGAATCCGGGATGCTGCCACGGATTATGTGAGACAATGTCAAATCCGTACACTTTTGATGATTATCTGCACGCCATTGGAATAAAGGAAGGTCATGGGTTTGATCAGCATCAGGGTCAATCAGCAACCTTCTCTCAGCTGCCATTTGATCTTTGCAATCTCAACTCTTTCAGATATTTAGTATAACCTAATAACCATAAGGTACACTACCAAAACCTACATTTCCTTTTCTCTCTAGTCAAGGACGGAGGGAAGTGGACGGGAGAGTCGCCCTAGAAAATTTCAAATATCCTATTTATTACATAGTTTTTTAATATTTTATATTGATAGTAGATTTTAGTTATATGAAATTTTATAAGTTTACATCGTGTAAAATTTTAGAAATTTGTCCATAAAAATTTGAGACTGTTCTTATCTTACTATCGGTATCTCACTGATATTTGTCTTTGTTGCCAGCTTTGAGTGTAATGTTGGTTTTCCACAGACAAAGTGGCTGTTTCTTCTAAGCTCTAACCCTTTTTGCCTGTGTAGCAGGTCTAGTACAAAGTGTTTTCACTTCCACACCAGTTCATTGAAAACCCCAACCCTTAAATAACTTTGGACTATCAGCATTAGGGGATTGAAAAATTCTCTATTTACTTTTTTTTTCTTTTTCTTTCTTTCTTTTTTCCCTTTTCTTGTTTCTTTTCTTTCTTGTCAGTAATGTACGAAATATGAATGTAGGCGGAGCATAAGCATATTTTGCATCTTAATGTTTAAAGAAAGAATGTTCTCTAGAAATGAGGAAAAAAAGAAAATTGGATTGCATAAGTGCTTATATAAATCAATTGAATTAAACATAAGATTCTTACATTCTGTGGTCCACTGCATGAATAGGGGACCCTTTTTGGGGTTGGACAGAACGGAGATTCAAAATTGAACCTTTATTGCATCGGACCAGAAATTTGGTTTTAGAACCAAAGGACTACCCTTCTCTTCCCTTCTAGTTCTGACTCTGATGTAGCATTTCTCCTAATTCAACTTTCTTAATTCTTTACCTTGTTATTCATTAGCAGCTCGAAAATGTTAGGATTTTCGTTAGTCAAAACCTTCGAATAAACCCTTTCGCTTACTGAAGCCACCAAGAGATCTTTATCCTCCAGTTTCAGGAACATCATAACCTTTGAGCCATCTATATGGCTATCTATAGTGTACACCAATGGTGACGCCAGACAGAATAGTGATTATCCTATAGGCGCTTCAACAGATGATTCACAAGAGAAATTCGCCCAAAGAACCAGAGAAAAGAAGTCTCTAGGGTTTAATAAAATATTATAAAATTAAGTAATATCAAAATCAGTCCACTAGCCGGACTGTTATAGCAAAAAATCGTCTTTATTCGAATTTTGTCAAAAATAGCAAAATCCCGAAAATCATTCTAAATTGAAATTCGAATTAAAATAAGTAATCTCTAAAAAATTCAGCTTAAATCAGATTTAAATTGACTTTCTAATTGACAATCAAAATATTACCATAAATAGTAAAAAATAACTAAATCTAGTGATTCGAAGGGAAAAACGGCAGAATTTGAGGTTGAAAAAAAAGTCATATGGAGTTTAGCTTAATGTGGAGAGCGTGTACGTCGAAAAGAGCTTTCCGGATTGGGGTCTTATGCGCGATTCTGACACATGTAGCCAAAGTTATGGCCAAAAGACTGAAATATACTCAAAACGACTTCAATGAGGAATATGTCACAATCAATTCCTGTCTTTGTGCTGATCTGCCAATTTATGGTATCTCAGCGCCATCAAGGTGCAATCTGAAAGTTCAGCATCATCTGTCTCGGATCCCCCTGCATCAAATGACCTCTCACAAACTAACTAGATGTACCAAAGCAAAATCCAAGATTTGACAATCGGATCTATCTAGACTATCGATCTACGAGTAATCATAATGATCTTATACTTGACACCACCCGTTAGAGTCATTATAAATATCCCTTAACTATGATTGGGGACTTCTACCTCCTTTTCCACACTCCTACCCTCTCTTTATGGATCCATCTCTCACATAGAGAAACAAAGCAATGATCATATCTCATCTGTCACAGCTCTTCATACAAATCAGAAATCAGAAAGGATAAACCGTGAAATGACCGATGAGATAAATTTGTTGTCACTAACATACCTACATATATTTTCCCCCTAGTTTACTGGTTCTTGGATGTTTTTGTTAAGGGTTTATCTACGTTGTGTTGGTAGAAAATGTTTTCACATTCTGTCAAAATTTACCCAGCTGTGCATGGACTGTGGTCTGCTAGGGTACTTACACTTAATGTTACTCAATGTCTCAGGTTGGCAAGGGAGAAGTAGAACAACATGCAGAGGAACAAGACTGTAAACATATCCGACAAAACGTAAAGAGATCACACATTCTAGACGATGAAGAAAATGATGAAGCAGGTGGTGCGTTCGAACTATTGTTGTCAGTCACTACAACATCAGCCATGGTCACAGAGAAGTAATATATGCTGTACGAGTGAGATGAGCAGCAGCAAGGGATTCTCATTGTTCTACTCTAATTATAAAGACTGCTCCACCCCACTTAGTCTCAACTTAGATCTATCCATTGCTCTTTGAGGCAACTAAAATCAAGATGTTAAGGTTTTGGAGCTGATCCAGATTTTGGTTTACAGTTTATGTATGATCATATCTTTGAATATAATGAATTTAAAACTGGGCCTACGAGAAGGGAAAAGTAAAAGGATTATTGATTTTAAGTTATAAAATTCAATATTTATTTTAAGTTACATATTTCTAAAATTTTATAAAATAATTAAAAAGTTATAAAAAAACGAAAAATATTCAAGAAATTATTAAGCTATTACAAATTTTAAAAATAATTTTCTAAAAAAAGTAGTTATTTTTATAAAAGAAGTCTTAATTCTTACCAATCCGAGTTTATTATTGTTCCTTAAATAGTTAAATCCATTTTAAATAGAATCAATACTGCATTAGAATAATTATTACTTTTAGATTTCCTCATGCAAACTACCTTTGATTAGCATATCATAATATATTATGTAACAACGTTTGAAGTTCAAAACTCTCTGACCAGTGGGTGAAGACACCTTGAATGAGCAATGCAAACTTCATGGTCCACGTCCCATAACATTGGTCTCTCTGGTGGTTGCTAGCCAACCAGTAGACCTGCTCTAACATGCCTTCTTCCCATATTTATCGCCAACCAGTGGCTTAATGTAGAGTCTTGGTTTTGTATTAACAAGGTTTAGGGGTAGGACCGACACACCAACCACAAGTGTGTTGGAAATAAAACACTCACACAAACAATTTTTATTGAAACTCAAACAAATATTACAAGAACACTCTCACTCAAAAACAAGAACTACAACTCACTCTTATAAGACTTTGCTTCTTCACTCACTTAGAAGCTCTTAATTTTTCTTGATGCTTAAACTAAAATGGGGAGGGATATTTATACTACTCAAGAACAATCCTACACCACACAAATAAAATAACTTAAACCATTAAAATATACAAATACCTAACTCTTCACCTAATTCTTCATCTAACTCTTCACCTAACTAAATTCATGTAAGCAATGACATCAATTTAGTTTGGGTTTGGGTTCAGGCTCCCATAATGGATCAAGTTTATGATCTAACACTCCCCTTAAACTTGATCTTGTGACCCCTAGTAAGTTCCTTAATCTTATGAAGTCTTCGCTTGTCAGTGGCTTGGTAAAAATATTGGCAACTTGATCTTGTGACTTCACATATTCAACTTCCACATCCTTTCTTGTAACACACTCCCTTATATACTGGTAGCGAATATCGATGTGCTTACTTCGATCATGGAATACTAGATTCTTTGCTAAGGCAATGACTAACTTGTTGTCCACACAAACCTTGGTAGGCTCTTCTTGTATCAAACCTATCTCCTTCATTCAATAGATTTCTAAGCCAAATTGCATGACAAACGCATGAGGCAGCAACAACATATTCTGCTTCACAAGTGGACAATGTGACAATCGGTTGTTTCTTTGACATCCATGTGAAAGCAATATCTCCCATGAAAAATACGAATCCAGTAGTGCTCCTTCGATTATCTATGTCTCCACCCCAATCACTGTCGCTATATCTAACAAGCTTGTAATAATTAGAAACTGAATAGAACAAGCCAAAGTTAATTGTACCTTTCAGATAGCGAAGAATTCTCTTTGCGGCCTTAAAATGTGTGGTTGTTGGAGATTTCATGTAACGACTAACCAATCCAACTGCGTGAAGAATATCAGGTCTCGTGCAAGTTAGATAGCATAGACTTCCCACCAAACTTTTGAAGAATGTTGGATCTACACTTTCACCTTCTTCATGTTTGGACATCTTGATCCTGTATTCTGTCGGTGTGCTTATTGGCTTATAGTTCTCCGTCTTGAACTTCTTCAGTATCTCCTTTGTATAGCTTTCCTGTGAAATGAAAATTCCATCCTTTTATTGCTTAACTTCAATGACAAGGTAGTACGCCATTAGCCCCATGTTTGTCATCTCAAATTTTTTCATCATCACATCCTTGAATTCATTAAACATGCTTGGGTTGCTTCCGGTGAAGATCAAATCGTCCACGTAGAGGAACACGATCAAAATATCTCCATCTTTAGTCTTGATATATAGAGCGTTCTCGTAGGGACATTTGTTGAAGTCATTCTCTTGGAAGTACTTGTCGATTCGGCTATTCCATCGTGCCCTTTGACTTCATAGCCTGATGGTTGCTGAATGTAAACTTCCTCTTCAAGAACTCCATTTAGAAAGGCAGACTTTACATTCATCTGTTGTATCTTCCACTTGTTTGAGCTGCCAAAGAAATGATTAGTCTGATAGTCTCCAATTGAGCGACATGAGAAAATACCTCATCATAGTCAATTCCAGCCTTTTGACTATAGCCTTTAGCAACTAGCCTCGCCTTGTGCCTTTCAATCTCTCCTTTGGTGTTTTTTTTGTTTTGTACACCATTTGACACCTATCGCCTTATGTCCATTGGGAAGTGAGGTAAGTTCCAATGTGTCATTCTTCTCGATGGCCTTGATTTCTTCGTCCATCGCATCTCTCCACTTCTTTTCTTGTACTGTTTCTTGAAATCTCACTGGTTCACAGTCGATAAACAAACAAAATAATGTAAGATTATCTTGTCGTTGAGTTACCTCATAGAGATCTCTAAGGCTTCTTGTACGTTGCACAACTCTTTCACTTTGACTCTCACTTGACGATGACGAAGGTGATGAGTCTCCTTGAGTGGTTGATGTTGGTGAAGTGGGTGGAGTTGCAAGCTCTTGTTCAGGTTCACCTAGTCGTTCCCTCATTGTCTGCTCATCTTCTTCAAACTGAGGAAAGAAATTGAAGTCATCTGCATAAGAGTTAAAATCCCATTCTCCTTCTTCATTGAAGACCACATCTCGACTAATCACAATCTTCTTATTGTCTGGATTGTACCGCTTGTAGCTTTTTGAATTAGCATCATAACCGATGAAGATTAAACTCTCACTTTTATCATCAAGCTTAGTTCTTCTCTCGTCTGGTACGTGAACATGGGCTATACTTCCAAAGATTCTCAAGTGGGAAATGCCAGGCTTTCTTCCACTCCATGCCTCTTGCGGTGTTTTCCCCCATACACTTCTTGTTGGAGATCGGTTTATCAAGTAGACTGCACACGTTACTGCTTCCGCCCAAAATTCCTTGGGTAGTTTCTTGCTTTTGAGCATATTTCGTGCCATATCGAGGATTGTTCTGTTCTTTCTTTCTGCCATACCATTTTACTGGGGGGATCTAGGAACTATCATTGGTCGACGAATTCTATTTGCTTCACAGAACTCTTGAAACTCCCTGGAAGTAAATTCTCCACCTCGGTCGGATCTCATTGCTTTGATCTTTCTACCGCTTTCTCTCTCCAATGCTTCTTTGAACTTCTTGAAGACTTTGAAAACTTCTAACTTCTGTTTCAAGAAATATACTCAGGTTTTCTTGAAAAGTCATCAATGAAGAGAAGAAAATAGTTACTGTTACCAAGAGAGTTTGGCTTGATCGGTCCACACACATCAGTATGGATGAGCTCGAGTGGCTTCCTGGCTCTTGTATCTGACTCCTTTAGAAAACTTTTCTTGAATTATTTCCCGACTAGACACCCTTCACAAAGCTGGTCAGGATGGTTGATGCAAGGTATTCCCTTCACCATCTCATTCTTAGATAGTAGCTATAGACCTCCAAAATTGAGATGCCAAAGCCATGATGCATCTTTGTAGTAAGCTATCAGGCACTTTGCAACATCATTTTGTATATTGATCGAGAACATTCTATTCTTTGACGTCGACACTTTAGCAATGAAATTATTCTCATCTTCTTTTATAGAAAGATTATAATTATTCATATGAATATTATAACCTTTTTCTACCAGTTGCCCTAAACTTAAGATGTTACTTTTTATATTGGGCACATAGTAGACATTTGAAATAAATTGATGTCTCACATCTTTCAAACGGATAATGATGTTACCTCTCCCTTTCAATGTTATTTTAGAATCATCTTTAAATGAAATATTTCCACTTACTGACTCGTCTAGCCCCACGAACATGTATTTTCTTCCACACATGTGATTGCTTGTACCACTGTCAAGATACCAGGAATTCGCTTGGCCACCATCAGTTTCCTTTCGTGCTAGAAGAAGAGTTTCTTTTCCATCTGTCTTTTCCTCCACGTAGTTGGCATTCTCCTCAATTTTTTTGTTAGGAGCTCTACATTCTAAAGCATAATGCCCAAACTTCTGACAATTATAACATCGAACTTGAGATTTGTCATGGCTTGAGTTCAGATTGATTCTTCCACGACCTCGTGTGGAGCTTTCTCCTTTCTCATAGTTGTTGTTGGAATTATTGTTATTGTAATTCCAGCCTCGTCCACGACCTCGACTTCCACCTCGTCCACAACCTCTACCTCTGCTTGGCCACATTGGTTTCTATCATTGCATTGGATTTCATGCATATCCTTGAGTTGCAGCTTGAGGAGTTGCTCAGTAAACTCATGCTTCTTCTTATGCTTCTCTTCGTATGCTTGTAATGATCATTGGAGTTGCTCGATTGTCATTTCTTCTAAGTCTTTAGTTTCTTCAATCGTCACGACTATGTGCTCAAATTTGGGATCCAATAAACGGAGTATCTTCTCTATTATCCTCATATCTTTTAACTTTTCACCATTTCTTTTTAATCGATTAGAAATAGCTACTACTCTTGAGAAATAATCTAAAATAGACTCGGATGCTTTCATGTGTAAGGATTCGAATTCACCTCTTAATGTTTGGAGACGTACATTCTTTACTTGCTCGAATCATTTGTAAGAGGTTTGCAGCTTCTCCCACGCTTCCTTGCTAGAGCTTGCACTCGAAATCTTTTCAAAACCAACATTATCTAATGCTTGATAGATGAGGTAGAGAGCCTTCTTGTCTCTCTTTCTTGAATCCTTCAAAGTTGTCTTTTGATCTGGTGTAAGAGTAGCAAAAACATCATCATCTGCAGGCTCGTTATAGCCTTTCTCTATGATATCCCACACATCTTGTGATCCAAGAAGTGCCTTCATTTTGATACTCCAATTGTCATAGTA